GCTTATATACAAGAGCAAGTGGTCCGGATTAAAACCAATCCGACGGCTACCAAAATCCCACTACGCTAATATTAGTATACAGCATCGTAGCCGTACACTTGGCCCTCACATCATCCCCTCCTCTCGGAATAATGGAAGGCCGTCAGGGTTCTCTTGTAGATGGGCCGGGATCTGGAGGAATGTCAGGAGGAGGCATTGGCGGATCTGTAGACGGTATTAACTGCTCCTGATCCCTTTGTATGAAGCGTTTTAACCGCTGCACATGCACAATCTTCGGAGGATCGGCCTGCTGAACGTCATGCCGAACCTCATAAACTTGTGGTCTAACTTGCCACAACACCCGATACGGTCCTTTCCACTGCGCAAGGAGCCCCTTAGATAAACCACGTACCGTAAGATGGGGAAAACGGACTAACACCAAATCATCCACTTTGTACTCCGCATGTGGACAAAGGTAAACTCAGCTCTGTTGGTAATATTGGATCATGACCATATAGAAGTTTATATGGTGAAACACCAACAGAACTCTGCACCCCTGTGACATATGCATACCGAAGAGAAGGCAAATAACCATCCCAATCCGAATGTTGAAAGTTCACATACTTCGCAATCATCCCTTTGAATGTCCGAACAAGCCGTTCCACCAGACCGTCTGATTGTGGATGATAAGCACTCGTAAAAGTGTGGCGTATCCCCAACCAAGATGTCAAAACATGAAATACCTCAGCCATAAATGCAGGACCATTATCCGAAAGAATCCGCTCTGGACAAGAATGCTGGAACACCACTCGATTGAGGAGGAAGTATCCAACAGCAGTTGCAAAGGCACTAGCAAGAGCACCAACTTCCACCCAACGAGTCAAGTAGTCAGAAGAAATAATAACATACTCATTGCCAGCAGTCGATCGTGGAAAAGGTCCCATAAGATCAAACGCCACCAACTCAAACGGACGGGAAATTGCAATTGACTCCAACCGTCCTTCCGTAGCACAAGGGGGAGTATTACGAGTTTGGCACCAAACGCAGCTATGCACATACCGGATAATACCACGTCGCATCTCTGGTCAATAGAAAGACCTGCGCAGCTTCTCGGTGACACGACGGTGTCCCATATGCCCACCTAGAACAGGAGAATCATGGTAGGCATGGAGAAACCGCAGAATAAACACCGAAGGCACCACTAACCGTAAATGATCATCAGGATCCGTCCCCACAAAATAAAGAAGGCCATCTTCAAGGCGATATTGAGAATGTAAATGCCGGAAAGGCAAGTCATCAGCAAGTGATGCAGCATTCTCAAACCCATCTCGAAGCCTTCGAATCCACGGCTCAATCTTTTGAGCTTCGCGAACCTCATCAAGAGAAGGTAGATCTTGCTCTGCGCCCTGTGGACACTGAACGTCAAGGAAAGCAACCGCTGACGGCACAGAATCCTCATCTAGAAAATCCACAGATGCTGGAACAACAGGTTCGTCAAAAACATGAGAAGTGAGTGGAGAAGGAAGAGGAGCTCGAGAAAGGGCATCAGCATCAGGCATAGAACTCCCTGGGCGATGAACAACATCGAAATCATATATCTGAAGCTTCAAAGCCCATCGAGCCGTACGATCAACCAGGTTCTTCCGCTTCAATAATGAAGTAACAGCAGCATGGTCACCTTCAAGTAACGTCCGAGAACCATGTAGATATGCATGAAGTTTCTCGAAACCCTAGACTGCTGCTAAACACTCCTTCTCCATCGTAGAGTAGTTCATCTCCGCTGGTTGTAATGTACGGCTTATGTATGCAATGGGATGGCGCTGACCAGGCACACTTGAGCTCTCTTGCATCAACACACCTCCAAGACCAATGTCAGAAGCATCCACGCGCAAAATAAAAGGTCGAGTGTAGTCAGGATATGCCAAAACCGGAGGAGTCGTCAATAGCTCTTTGAGATTCACGAACGCCCGCTCACAATCCGGAGACCAGATGAAAGATGACGTTGATGACTTCAGCAACGCTCGCAATGGTGTAGTGCGATCGGAAAGATGATCCAAAAAATGACCGAGATACTGCACCTTACCCAAAAAACGCTGCACATCATTCACACACTTCGGAGTAGGGAACTTTAGAATAGCCACAAGTTTGTCAGGATCAACTTGCAAACCCTCACGAGAAATACGGTACCCAAGATAAGTTGTGTCCTTGGACCCAAACACGCACTTTGACCACTTCAGCTTTAAACCAACGTCGCGTAGCCGATCCAACACTTTACAAACATCACGAACGTGCTCTTCCCACGTCCCCTCCGAGTGGATCAAGACATCATCAATGAAGTCAACTGTCACCTCCGGCATATCGCAAAGAACCTCGTCCATCATCCGCTGAAAAGTTGCTGGAGCATTGTTCAAACCAAACGGCATCACCAAGAACTCGTACAAACCAAATGGTGTACGAATAGCAGTCTTAGGAATATCTTCTTCGGCCATCGGTACTTGCCAATACCCAGAAGCAAAATCTAGCTTGGTGAACCAACGACTTCGCCCCAGACGATCCAAGAGATCAGCAGTGTGAGGAAGAGGGTACACGTCCGGGATCGTCACTTCATTTAACGGACGATAGTCGATGCAGAAACGAATACTCCCATCAGGCTTCGTCACAAAATGAGGTTCACATGCCCAAGGACTCCGCGACTTCCGAATAACACCCTTCTCCAACATCTCCTTGACGTTTGCATGTAAAATCTTGATCTCCTTGGGTGACCGACGACGAACAGGAACCTTGATTGGACAAGCATCCCTGGTTGGAATGGGATGACGTGTGGCAATCTTGGCCCCAGATGATAGGTCAAATTCAAAGAGATCAAAATACTCCTTCATGAGCTAGTCAACAGCTGCAACACAAAGATCATCAGAGGGATCGGAAAAGGGAAGAGCAGAACAAGATGGAAACACAAGAGGAAATAGTGGGGGAACAAAAGTAATGGAAGCAGAGGTAAAAATAGAGGGACGAAGAGGTATGGAAGTGAGAGGAATGGGTGAAACATAAGGAAGTATGAGACAAGGGGGAGAAGCCTCAAAGTCACACTTGGCATGATTGCGCTGCAACCAATCCATACCAAGAATGAGGTCAAAAGCTTGACTCGGCACCACCCGCAACGACTGCATCTCAAGCTCGAGATCGCCCACACGCACAACCAGGTCTGCCTCATCTCGTGCACATGCATGTGTACGGCCGTTGCCATAAAGAATGAAAACTGGATCCGCCGCACGATGCAAGTGTAGACGACAACGTGTGGCAACAGGTTGAGCAATAGAAGATAAACTCGAACTTGTATCAACCAACACGGAGAGAAGAATAGGAGACCTCTTGTTATAGAAACGAGCTTGGAAAGTAAACACTAGATGAACCGGTGCTGAGTGAACCCCTTGATGATACTCCCGAAAGAAAGATGGAGGGGTCACTAACTTATTCGCACAAGGTCCCTCCATTACTCGCGCGACTCCTCATTTCCTGAATGCACCTCGGTATCCAAACCTTCCATCGCAGCAGCACCAATGGGACGTTGCTGACGCCAAGGTCTCCACCCAGGAAATGGAGGTCGCCAATCCGGAAAGCGCCAACAACGCCGATAAGTATGACCAACTTCATCACACGCCCAATAACGAACATCACGGCCACGACCACGTCCTCGCCCTTGTCCTTGGACTCGAGTAGCAGTAGCATCAACCTCCATGGGAACAGGACCATCACTCATAGGAAGTGGAGCTGAAGGACGTGTAGCAAGAAGTGGAAGAGGCGACGTCTCATAATGTTGTGCCAAGCGAAGAGCATCGTCAAGAGTGGCAGGAGCAAGTGCATGCATAAGTCCGACAAGATCTTGACGAAGTGTTGGCCACAACATTCCTAGCTTGATCCGCTCTGACATATTTGGCTCCGCACGAAGCAAAAGACTTCGGAAACGAACGCTAAATTGCATCACCAACTCAGATGGCCCTTGGCGAAGACGATGCAATTGTTGGAAGGCATCATCACAATCGTCGGCGTGTCCGAAGGCGCGTTTGAAGACGTCTGGAAGAACACTCCAATCGCCACAAGTGACTGCGCTCAATCCATTGTACCACTGCAGTGCCGTTCCTTGGAGACATGTGGGGAACTCACGCAAACGTCAAGCATCATCCCAAGAATGATATGTGGCAATCACCGTGAAGTGATCAAACCAATGATACACATCATCCCCAGGATTCTCACGAAAGAACTCCGGCCGAACGCAAGGATTGGCACCAAGAGCAGGAGGAGTTGTACCATGTGCCGTGAACGCTGCCATCAACTGAGTTTGGTTGTTCAATTGCAAGCGCATAGTATCAAGCAATTGAACCAACTACTGCTCTAGAGTCAAAGGAGGAGATTGCAGATCGGCCATGAAGATGAATGAAAAAGAAAGAGCAAAAGAAGAGAAATGACAAAAAGCTGGAAAGAAATGGTAGATTTAGACAATATAAAAAGCTAGATCTAAACCAAAATCCTGAAAGGAAAGAACAAAAGAAAGGAAATGGAAAAAGCTAGATCTAGACAATGCAAAAGCTAAATTTAAACCGAAATCCCAAATCCAAGCACTCCCCAGGGACAATCAAAAGTGCCCCTCAACTCCACCAATGTGAGAGTTTGGAATATGGAAAGGGAATACAGAAATGTGCATATAAATTAGTCCAAAAACCCTAGCTTATATACAGGAGAGAGTGGTCCGGATTGAAACCAATCCGACGGCTACCAAAATCCCACTACGCTAATATTAGTATACGGCATCGTAGCCGTACACTTGGCCCTCACAACATTTCAATTGGTTATATAGTGTTTGTGTGCATAATATTTTTGCATGCAACTCAAAATGAAAAAGACTAAATCCACACATATGTAAATATATAGCATATAATATAGGCATGCACAATCACATATTCATTGCCATATGTTAATGGGCTATGTAAACCATAACTTTTAAGATATTAATTACTACTCAACAACAAAATTGCTATACTTTTGTTTGATCAGTCCTTGGTGTAATCAAGCATTTTCATATCTGCACACCATAGCAGCTGTGAAAACTCTCCTTGGCCGACAGTAATAACTTTTTTCTGGTGCGCAATGCTCATCCCTTGCGCAAATGCACAAACCCTCTAATGCACACCCAGCTGCCATTACAGTTCCAAAAGCTTGGATGCCAAGAAGTCGATCGCTCCAGGTGCTGGAGAAGAGCCCATCTGGATCCATCCTCCTCATCGCTCCCACAAATCTCTCCAGCACTGGAGAGCTGCCAGTCCCAAGATTCGAGAAGGTGACCGGTGTGTTTTTCCCCCAGTGAGGAACGCCTCCGTACTTAGAAATGGCCATTTGTTCCACCTCTTGCCACACGTCCATGTTGAGCCGCGGGACACTCCCATTTCGTGACCGGTAGTACGTAAGCCCCACATCCACCCCGTCGAATGGCTTGCCGAGCAACGCCCGCGATGCGGCCACGTAGCGCAAAAGGACACCGGTGTAGAGGTCGATCCCACACAACGCCCCGGCATCTGGGTGGGAATCTCTCAGATGCTTCACGTCCGCGATGAAGGCCGCGATGCTCTGGGCTGGGATTGTGATGCCTGATTCGAGGTAGAAGAGCGCATTCCTGGCGGAATCCCAGCCACAGATGAGCAGCCTCGACGCGGAATCTTGGCAGCCACCGGCGGTCTGGATTTTGTGCTGGAATCCCACCACTGGGTAGCCCGTGAAGAGCCCTAGGCTACGTGTGTTCTTGAGGCCGTAGCCCAGGCTTTGGAGTAGCGATACTTGTGTCTGTGATGCGCTGCACTTGCCAATGGAGGATCGCGTCGCCTCCAGCGTCTCCTCTGTCGGGATCGATAAGCATTAGTTTTAGGAATCCTGGCTAAGGTTCTTACCGAGAGCTCTTTGGGCGACGATGGCAGGCGCCAATGTGGGCTGGAAGCCGATGAAATCATTGACTCCATCGCCGGGTATGTCGACAGGGACGCGATCGTCGATCCGGTAGACGGCCTCTCGCTTGGACGGGTACCAGATCACGTCGCCGAATTCGTGCTCGTTCCCAAACGCCACGATCTTGTCTTCCAGGCCCACGTCGGAGGTTCCCACGTTGGTGACCGATCGCTTAAACATGGGCTCCAGCTCCAGCGTCACCTATAATGGATAGAATTGATCGATCGCGAAGATGCCAGTGCCAGATCAAGAAGAAAATCGAGAGCTCGAGTGAGAAAGGACCTTCGAGATGACTCCCATCGTTCCAAGTGAGACGATCGCGGCGTAGAAGAGATCGCCATCGCCGGGGTGAGAGTGACGATCTTCGCAAACTCGTTGTGTGAGGAAGAAGAGGAGGAATTCTTCCCGGACGGTACCACCATGCGAAGCTTGAGGACGTGATCATGGAGAGCTCCTCCTTTGCCACGCCAGGAGCTCCCATGGGATCCAGTGCTGAGGATTCCAGCGACGGAGAGGCCATTCCAATAGGGAGACGTCGCCAGTGCCAGGCCATGCCGCGCGGCCTCGTCGAGCACCGCCTGGAGCTGTGCGCCGCCATCCACTTCCACTGCCTTGGACGCCACGTCCACGGCAATCCCGCGGCTGTAGTTGGCGGTGCTAATGGCGAGGAGGCCAGCGGCGCCGCCATCTCCTGGGCATGCCAGTGGAGGAAGGCTGTGACTAGACTTGGTCACGGCTTTCATCTTGAGCTTGTTCTTGGCTCCATAGCCCACGGCTTCCAGGAGCTCCTCCTCGTTGGATGGATACACGATCTGAGAAACTTTGCAAACCTTTTGGATTGAATCGATCATGACAAGAATGGTTTTCTCTGGAGAGGTGATGAATTTACCTGTCTGGTGTTCCATGTCCCATAGGCATTGGTGATGAAACAATCTCCAGAGTCGTCGCAAAAAGCTGGATCCGGAGGAAACGCGTCCGCCAGCAGCAGCAGCGGGGTAGCAAGAGCAAGGGCGAGAAACATTCTCATTCGTCGCGGAATCTATCTGATGAGCGCGAAGAACATCTATGGAGAACTCCGCTGGCGAGAAAAGGTTGAAAAATAATAGGAAATAGCATGATTGATGGTTAAAGTCAAAGATATCAAAGCGGAGGAGATCTGGAAAATGGAGTTCACACCGCGTGGATCATCGGATCATGTTGTCCAATAACGTGGGATATATTTATTATTTGACATGTTTTGTTGCCACATAGGATTCAGTTCCCGCCTCTTCAAGGGTTTAGGGTTCTTGGGCGCAATGCTGGCGACGTTGCAAGCGCTCGAGGCGGGCGCGGCGCTCAATGGTATGTAGCGCTGCGCTAGGTCTTCATGGGAGAATGACTATTTTTTGTAGCTAGTCGCGCTTCCGCCTTTCATCCAAAACTGAAGCTCCGACCTCGTAGAGAATGCGAAATCAAAACGGGAGAGAGTGCCCGAGAAGAAAGATCCAGAAATCCCTCTCGAAACTTTGAGCGAGGTGGAATTGGATGCAATAGTCGATCATCAGTGCGAAGAACCTCTATCTCTGCAAGAAGCACCAGTGCCAACTTTGGCACCGCCGGCTCCAGTGCCAGATCTGGTTATACCATCATCGGTGTTTCTTTGTTTTACTTTTCCTCTCCTCTTGTGTTTTAGCGCACTGAAACTTGTACCACCGAGTGTTCAAAGGCAAAGAGAAACAAGCGGTCGGTTTCACGCAAGAAACAAGAGCCAGGTAGAAAAATCCTACGTTTCCTTTTGACGTGGTTTTGATTGTACATCCAGCTGTGAGTATCGACTTGCCGACATTAATCAAAGAGACTTCCTTGAGAGATTTCATTAAAATCACGGAAGCGGAACAAAGGAAGAGGATGAAGAAAGTAGGACACTTCGTGGCTCTAGTTTCTGAAAACTTTCTTACTGTGATCTTGGTTCTGTTCAGGAGAAAAAGGAAAAAGTTCAAAAGCCGGAAGAGAGTATTCCTGTCACGAGAATACAGAAGGAGTAAGTAGCTGAGACATAAGATGCTCTTGTGTATCGATAAGATTGTTTTCTTGGATTGCACAGAGTAAACGTTGTTCCACAAGTGAGGATCATCAACGGGAGCATTGCCATCGATCCCAAAAGTTTGACGATAGATGCCAGGGCCTTGAATGAGGAGGACCCTGCAACTTACAGGCGCATAGACGAAACGCACAGGAAGGTGAACTTCCGAACCAGCACCGCAGCCAACGAGAGATGGAGGCGTGAAGAGACGGAACTCTTCTACAAGGTAAGGAGCCTCCGAGGTTTTTTCTTTCTTATCAAGTTATTTTTCTTGCAGGCTGTTGAGCGGTTTGGGACTGAATCCAGCGGCTAATACCTGGCAAGTCACGCAGACAGATCAGGAACAAGTACAACAGAGAAGGACGTCAAAATCCGCGGCGTTTATCGCAAGTCAGCGACAGAGGTGAATCTGTTTTAGCTCGTTGCATCCTTCGACTGAGTTTTTCGTTTGCAGATTTGAAGGAGTACGAGAACCTTTCGGAAGATGTTCTGAAAGATATTGCTGTTGCTGCTGAAAAAGAGGACGAGTTTGCCTTTACGTGGGATGTCAACAGGAACAAGGTGGGATAACTTTGCAGTCAAGTTTTTGGATTGAATCGATGCGTGTGATGTGTGCCAGGGAGAAGAGATTGTTGCTGATCCAGCGGCACCAAACTTGGAGCACGGTGAAAACGAAGAGCATGAAGATCGAGCTCCAAGAAAACAAACGCGAAGAATTCAAGGTCAGCCCAATATCTCTATTCTAGTTTTTTGGGATCAGTTTTTGGAGGAAGGTTCTAGCGATGGAAGTGTAAATATCTGTCTCAAAGGATCACTGCACAGAGCTTCTTGTTTACAAGCTTTCCATCAAAACAAAAGATGGAAAAGTTAGATTGTATACTTTCAGATGACATTATATCACTCACTGCTTACTCGCGAAGAGCTGCTGTTCTATCTCTTCCAGGCTTAGTCCCTTCGTCTCTGGGACCGTGGAAACAATGAAGACGAGCGCCACGATTCCAATCACTCCAAATCCCACGAAAGTCAGAGGCGCTCCCAAAAGTTCCTGCGTGGTTTGATTAATTGGTTATTTCTTTCGAGAAAGAATGCTCTTTACCTGTAGTGGTGAGTATGCCAGTGCGACTAAAGCATTGGCTGCGAAGTTGACAAGAGTCGAGATGCTGAGAGCTCGACCCCGTGTTCTAAGTGGGAAAATCTCCGAGATCATGAGCCATGAAATCGGGCCAAATGATATCTGTTTGCTCCAAGAAGTTAGATGAAGCGCATGATCACAAGATGCACAGGGGATTTACCTGGTAGCAACCAACGTAGAGAAGCAACGCAATGACTGCGAGAAACGAGAGGCCCTTTCCGAAGACAAAGAAAGCCGCCAGCATGAACAAGCTCACAACCTGCGGGATTTTCGTGTTAGATCTTCACGGAAAGGTAGAGAAAAGCGAGAAACTTTACAATGCCGCTGACACCACCGATTAGTAGAGGCCTTCGTCCGAGTTTATCAACGTTGAAAACCGCAACTCCAGTCATTACAAGCTGTTACAATTGGAAGTTTTTCGGCGAAAGTTATAAGAGAAAAACAAACCTTGAAAACACCCAGTAGAACCGAGACTCGTGTTGCATCCGTTGCAGCAGCAAATCCAGCACTCTGGATCGAAGTTTCACTCAGAAAACGATAAAGAAAACTAAAGGACATACTGCCACTCACCTGGAGGATCGTGGCTGCATAGTATAGGACGCTTGGCTGGCCAGTCACCTGAAAGAAACATCCCAGAGAAACCAGAACAAAATATGAAACTTTGCTTGAGCATGAACAAAGAAAACAAACCTGTTGGAAAAAGACCAAGCCGGTTCCAATCGTCAAAGTTTTCAAGTTGCCTCCTCGGAACAACTCCCAGACGCTTTGCTGCGCGCTCTCAGATTCCCTGCTCAAGCTCTCCAGCGACTTCACAGTTTCATCCACTTGCAAATCCACAGCCTCTTGGGTGATGTTGCTTGATCCTCCTCCAAGCCTCTTGAAAGCCTCGCACGCCTGTCGCGTGAGCTCGCTCATGTCACCTTTGCCTTGCACCGCTCGCAAGAGTAGCCATCGCGGCGATGGTGGCAGCCACCACATCCCAATTCCCATGATGATCGCGATCGGTGCCGCGAATGCGTACATCCATCGCCAGCCTCCGACAGTGGAGATTTCTACGCTGCCGGCTAGATATCCAAGCTGCAAAAAGTGGCTTAAAACACGAAAGAAGGTGGTGGCTTGCTTACCAAAATGCCAAGAACTATGAAGGCTTCCTTCAGAGATACAAGTGTCCCTCGTACTTTAGATGGTGATGTTTCGGAGATGTACATTGGTGCTCCATGCATTGCCTGGGTGAGAGAAAAGAAAGATGAATAAACTTCTCAGGACATTTCGAGAAAACTTGTGTTTGTTTGCTCACCAGTCCAATGCCAAATCCAAAAGCCAGCCTTCCAGCGAGAATGACAGGAAAGTTTGGAGCTAGACCTGTGACTAGTGATCCAATGCAGTATATAGCAGCAGCGGAGATAAGCTCCTTTCGTCGTCCTTCACAAACCAAAACGAAAAAAAGAAAACAGTTGAATGGAATTGAGAGAAAAACAAGCATGAACATACCAAGCCTATCTGCGACATTGTATGCTAGAATGGATCCCAGCAAAGCTCCATAGAGTGACCCACTCACCTGGAAAAAGAAAAAAGGTTTCCTTGCCAAGAAAAAAGAAAAAACTTGACAAACTTACCACTAGCCCCGTTTGAATCGACGTAAGCTGGTACCAATCTGTGCCACTCAGCTCTGGAGACTGCAAGCAATCAAGCAATTCCGAAGATATTTTAGACTCGTTTTTCCTTCTCCGCAATGGCAACAGCGAACTTACCGTCAAAGATATGGAAGCTCCAGAGGTTGCTCCAATATCATAGCCAAACAAGAGCCCACCCAGAGCTGGAAACAAAAATCTAGCATCCAAAAGATACATGGACTTCACATTTTAATCCACAGACAGGTGGACTTACGGAAGTATGACAGCTCTCCAGTTGGTCTCCTTGAATCGATCTGGCGGAGCATCGCCATCGACTAGCGGCTGCTCCATATCCATGGAATTGCGAGTAACCTACAAGGTTCTCGCTAGAAAACCAAGCAAGCAGCACAAGGGACGAAACTTTACCTGGTTTCTGGATTTGAGGAGGGATGATCTCCAAGACGCCACGAGAGAGGGCGGCGGTGGCGCGACACGAGTGCTGCCGTTGGACAGCGACAGTGGCTTGAGCAGCAAGAGTCTGGGCGGGGGCGAGAAAGCAGCCATTCACTTGCCTTTACTTCTAGCAGTGGACTTAGTTGCCATTGCTGACCTATGAAACCATTATTTTAAGCCGAGAATCCATCTGTTCTTCTTGGATTTCCTAGCCATTTTCAATCTTTTGGAGGTATGGATGGAGGCTCTGTTTGAGATTGATGGAAGCCATAGCCATTCTCCACTGTATTTGTCTATTTGAGTTGGACATGACGTTTAAAGGTGGTGAGCTTCAAATCCAAGGAGAAAGCATGAAGTTCCAGTGATTGCAACGAGCTTTCAAGATGATGAGTGGACCACTCCCTCTCTCTCTTCTCGCTTGGACTACACTGCAAAAGGACCCGCTGTTCTAAAGTTCTTTCACGTGTTCTACAGATGTTCTTTGCGCTCTCGTTCAGTCATTTGGATCGATTCCGCGGAGAATGAGAATATTGCTCGCCCTTGTTCTTGCTACGCTGCTGCTGCTGGCGGACGCGTTTCCTCCGGATCCAGTATTTTGCGACGCCTCTGGAGATTGTTTCATCACCAATTCGTATGGGACATGGAACACCAGACAGGTAAATTCATCGCTTCTCCAAAAAAACCACCATTCTTCTCATGATCGATTCGATCCAAAAGGTTTGCAAGGTTTCCCAGATCGTGTATCCATCCAACGAGGAGGAGCTCCTGGAAGCCGTGAGCTATGGAGCCAAGAACAAGCTCAAGATGAAAGCCGTGACCAAGTTTAGTCACAGCATTCCTCCGCTGGCATGCCCAGGAGATGGCGATGGTGGCGATGGTGGCGGTCATAGCGGCGCCGGTGGCCTCCTCGCCATTAGCACCGCCAACTACAGCCGCGGGATTGCCGTGGACGTGACGTCCAAGGCGGTGGAAGTGGATGGTGGAGCGCAGCTCCAGGCGGTGCTCGACGAGGCCGCGCGGCACGGCCTGGCACTGGCCGCGTCTCCCTATTGGAATGGCCTCTCCGTGGCTGGGATCCTCAGCACTGGATCCCATGGGAGCTCCTGGCGTGGCAAAGGAGGAGCTCTCCATGATCACGTCCTCAAGCTTCGCATGGTGGTACCGTCCGGGAAGAATTCCTCCTCCTCTTCCTCACACAACGAGGTTGCGAAGATCGTCACTCTCACCCCCGGCGATGGCGATCTCTTTTATGCCGCGATCGTCTCACTTGGAACGATGGGAGTCATCTCGAAGGTCTTTTCTCACTCGAGCTCTCGGTTTTCTTCTTGATCTGGCACTGGCATCTTCGCGATCGATCAATTCTATCCATTATAGGTGACGCTGGAGCTGGAGCCCATGTTTAAGCGATCGATCACCAACGTGAGAACCTCCGACGCGGGGCTGGAAGACAAGATCGTGGCGTTTGGGAACGAGCACGAATTCGGCGACGTGACCTGGTACCCATCCAAGCGAGAGGCCGTCTACCGGATCGACGATCGCGTTCCCGCCAACACGCCCGGCAATGGAATTAACGAATTCGTTGGCTTTCAGCCCACATTGGCGCTTGCCATCGTCGCCCAAAGAGCTCTCGGTAAGAATCCTAGCCAAGAACCACGCTAATGCTCCATCGATCCGGACAGAGGAGACGCTGGAGGCGCAGCGATCGTCCAATGGCAAGTGCATCGCGTCACGGGCACAGGTGTCGCTGCTCGAAAGCCTGGGCTACGGCCTCAAGAACACACATGGCCTACGGCTCTTCACGGGCTACCCAGTGGTGGGATTCCAGCACAAAATCCAAACCGCCGGTGGCTGCCAGGAATCCAAATCGCGGCTGCTTATCTGTGGCTGGGATTCCGCCAAGCATGCGCTCTTCTACCTCGAATCCGGCATCACAATCCCAGCCCAGAGCATCGCGGCCTTCATCGCGGACGTGAAGCATCTGAGAGATTCCCACCCAGATGCCGGGGCGTTGTGTGGGATCGACCTCTACACCGGCATCCTCTTGCGCTACGTGGCCGCATCCCGGGCGTTGCTCGGCAAGCCATTCGACGGAGTGGATGTGGGATTTACGTACTACCGGTCACGAAATGGGAGCATGCCGCGGCTCAACATGGACGTGTGGCAAGAGGTGGAACAAATGGCCATTTCTAAGTACGGAGGCGTTCCTCACTGGGGGAAAAACACACCGGTCACCTTCTCGAATGCTGGGACTGGCAGATCTCCAAGGCTCGAGAGATTTGTGAAAGAGATGAGGAAGATGGATCCCAGTGGGCTCTTCTCCACCCGCTGGAGCGATCGCATTCTTGGGATCAAGGCTATGGAAGAGCAGAAAAATCCCGGGTGTGCATTGGAGGGTCTGTGCATTTGCTCGAGAGATGAGCATTGCGCACCGGAGAAGAGTTACCACTGTCGGCCAGGGAGAGTTTTCACAGCTGCAAGGGTGTGTAGATATGAAAGTGGCGGTTCTTGATTAAAAAAACTAAAAACACATATATTAATACCTCAGCAAATGCAAAACGGGATTCTATCCTGACAATTTAATGGAGTAAAAACTAACAGTTCATCATGACCAGAGTGTTCCACCCTCACCGCCATTGATCCATCTTTAAGGAGAACCACGCTTCCATTGTAGTTATCAGAGAAGCATAACTCCCATATACTTCGAATAGCTTCAAGAAAATCAGAAAGCGAGCGTGCATGGAATGTGTTAATGGCTAGAACCACAACCAGGGGCCCAACCCTAGCTGTGTAAGTGCCAGTTTTGTATCCATTTTGAGAAAATCTACCCCAAGCTGCTGCTGCGCAGTTGCAATAGTCGGTTGCCTCCGTTTTTACTTTAAAATCTTCCAAACAGTGCTGGAATGACCCTTCTGAATAAGTATTTCCTCCTTGCATAAGCATGAAGAGAACTAGAATCGTTTTAAAATTCATTACAAAAGATATCTGAAATGTTATCAATCTCTTTAATATGCACTTTTTCTGTGTACGACAAACCTCTTTTATAATCCTTATAGTTATAAATTAAAAGTCATACTAGAGTCATCTGTATGACGGTAAAACATATGGCCTCAGATTGGCGGGAATGCATTTCGAACGTTTGGTTTTGGACCCATGCATGGGGACACTCTGGATCGACCAAGCCTCTATGGAAGGATTTACCACAGTAGCGTGTTGTGATCCAAGTCAGAATTCACAGTGTCTATAAGATCTAAATGACTCTAGTTTATAATGGTTGCATTTTGGATGATCCTTCATTGCTGGATCCTCAAGATATTTGCCAATTGACGATTAGTACCAAAAGGAAAGTTTCTAGAGCTCTCCTGACTTTTCTTTTTACATTTTTGCTTTTTCAAGATGATACAGTCCTAAAGAAAATATGCTGCTGCTACTTCTATAACAAAAGCTTGCTAGGCCAGAAAGTGGTCTCGTTTACATTGGCATCCAAATTAGATCCAAGCACAAGGAGAACAGGCTTTCTCATAAAGAGTGTTTTTGGGAAATTGAGCTTAAAAGATCCTGGTTGCTATGCAAAAAAATAAATATCGATGGTCCAAATAAATAGCCTGCTTTGTCATATTCATAAGGGATATTGTTCGATATCAAAGGGGATATGCATTATAAGAGTTTGCTCGAGAAACACATCGTCACTCACGAGCAAGTCAAAGGACTTGAAGTAATCAAGGCATTTGAGTTAAAAATGCGTCTCGGTATCGGGAAGAAAACTATAAAGTATCAAGAGAATGCGAGAATAGGATTCGGACGGAGTATATCCTGTTGGCCGATGAGAGAGTTAATGGAATAGTTCTTTGTCCTGTTTAAATTTCAAGGAGACATTTCATAATCTTTGCATTGTTTCTAGATCTCATCTACTTCGAACAAGTTTGTCCACCACGACCTGCTAATCATTTTTTAAGAACAAACATACCATGAAGCAGGATTGCTCTCCATCCCAGTGTCTGCCATAAACAGGTTTCAGTACGATGTTTACCCGGGGTAAGACATCGCCGTGCAGAGTGCCTGGATGAGCACGCCTTCGTAGCCATTTTCCCTGGCCCTTTGGAACTCACTTTCCCTGGCTCACCATGTTAAGAAAAAGATCTAAAAAATGAAAGAAGAGATGAGTCTTACAGGGCAGAAGCTGTATCCAATTCCTTCACATCGATGCCGAGAATGGGCGAAGATTGACGAGTTAAGAGTCGCAAGATAAGGCCAAAAAGCCTCTCTTGGTTGTTTGTAGATATCGCAAGGTCAACCTCCTCCTTCCTACAGACGGATATGAAGCACGACAGCAAAGCAAAAAACGAAAGTACTTACATTCCCGAGAGAAAGCCAAGTTTACGAATCAGTCTGCAAGAGAAACTGTCAAGGAAGAAAGCAAAAGAAAAAAAGGAAACACATACTCGGCATCATCCAGTTTCTTGTTTGGATCCTTTGGATCCCAATAAGCCATTAACCTTTGCCTCGATTGCTCCATCTTGTCCGCGATTAGGTTTACGAGGCAGTAGTCTGGGATCAATTTGGTCCTGGGAAACAACTCTTTACTCTCCTGTCCAAAATTTCAGTCAGAGCCCAGTAAGAAGATAGTCAAGACCATTACCTTGACAAAGGCTTCCGCTCTACTGAGCTTGCGTTGCCACTCCCGGACCTCCTCCAAATCTATCGCCATCTTGCCCTAAAACAAAACCATTCAAAGGTTGAGCTTTCCCCCCAAATTTTAAAGGGCCCCAAAACCCTGAGATAGTTTTAGGTCGAGGAGCATCGTCGCTGCCGGCGTGCCGGATGTAGATCCCGCATTCTCACGGTAATGCGATCGGATGGATCGATCTTGCTATGGATTCGTGAGCTGATGGCTCCTTTGCTCGATCCAGGTCGAAATATCACTCGCGATGCTGTCGTCGTCGTCCCCACCGCGCGGCGCCGCGCTGTATTCTTGCAAGAACGAGGCCTCTCCTTCGATCCGATGCTCTCCCAGGGTTACAGTCACGTCGTCGAGCGCCAAATCCATCCTCCACAGCTCAGGATCGCATGCTTCATCCGAGAAATCTGGGGTCCGGAAGGCGGAGGCATCGGTGCCCCGGGGGGAGAGGAAGAAGATTATAGCTCTGTGCCTGATGTTCTTCTGCATCCTCTTCGCCTATGGCGTCTTGCGAGACACCAAGGACGCTTTGGTGGTGGCGGCCATGGGAAGCAACGCCGAGATCATCCCTTTGGACCTGGGTGAATCTCCCCATGGCTATCGGCTTCACGGTCGTCTACACCAAGCTCTCCAACGTTTTGTCCAGGGAAACTCTCTTCTACGCTTGCGTTCTTTCATTTGTTGGGATTTTCGGGAGTTTTTGCCTTCGTCCTATATCCTTTACGAGGCATTCTCCACACGACTGCTCTCGCGGACGATCTTCTCTCGGGGCCGATTGCTCTCTTTCGCAACTGGACGTTCGTGCTTTTCTGTCCTGATTCCTTTTCTTTCTTCGCTCCCAGATCACCTCTCTGGATGAAGCAAAGCGGTTTTATCCCTTGTTCGGGTTGGCAGTCAATGTAGCGTTTGTTTTCGCAGAACGAACTGTCAAGTTCTTTGCTAGAGTTAAGAGGATGCCTTTGGACCCGACATTGATGGTTGGGGGGTCTCTCTCAAGGGAATCATGAGCATCATTGTGCTTCACCATATGTACCATATACTGGTGGAATGTTATGATCTAGCACAAAAAGTTAAAGATTTAATCTCCCTAAACTATGTTACATTACTTCTTGACATTCTTCATCACTCAACTAACTCCTGAACTACTTCATTACACTGCCATTCCATTGTGAGCTCTAGGGTAAGTTAAATTCATGCTTTAATATACCATTTTAGCAGATCAAGGCTACAACAAGTGAGTGTAAAGCTGTTGGTCAAATTGAGATATATCCTGGATCTTGCAACAGTTGTCATTGCCTACGAAATTAGTATCAACCTCAGCAAATCTCAGGTGGGATAGTGAGGTGGTTATGATAGTTATATCGCTTATGCTTTATTACCACAGCTTCCAAACTCAACATTCCTGGAAGATTTTTCGACCTGGATTGGAATCATGAGTTTAAGTATGACGTTGTTGAGTAGGCTACTCTTCAACAATTTCGGATGGGGTGTTTTGGCTGCTATTATATCAATCGTGATACCTGGAATCACTTTTTTTATCGCTGACATTATCCAATGGTTCAGAAACTCCATTCGTCAGAGGTATTGGAGTGACAGTAGCTGTTTACGTTGGCATTGTGCAACATATAGTCAAGAAAAGTGCAAATTACAACCTCTTTGATCCTTGCAAAGAAATGACTCACATCCCTCTTGACGAAGATACAGGTAGCTTGGTACTAATTGTCTGGATAATATTTGTGTTTCTATTTCCATTTTCAGGTGAAAAGCAAAGCTATCGCTGACATTATTTGCAATCCATTGGGAGCTGCCCTGGTCTTGATGTTAGGACCACTTTCAACTCCCTACGTTTGCATGGTGCTGTTGGTTATCATGTTAGCTTGGTTGAGAGCTGCTCGATCACTTGACAAGCAATTTCCGTGGCTGTATATTGCTCCAAGGTAAGAACTGCTTCTTCTGCGAAGTTTATTTATTGTTTTTTTTCCGGACAGGAACGTTCTTTTACTGCTCTAGTGGCACTTGAAGTGGGAAAAAGTGTTTTTGTATGGGCCGACCAACTTGTCACTGAAAACAACTGTCAGCACCCTTTGTTACACTTCGTACAAGTCTTGAACGCTCGTCTTCATTTTTTTGCTGCCCCGGGGCCTCTCGATCGGCTTTTCCATCTTCTTGTCATACTGGGAACGAAACTCGTTATTCGAGCTCCACCTGAAAGAAGAATGGTAAGAAAACAAAAGAAACGAAAAGGAGAAAAGGAGAAACTTACGGTGTGTCCCATCGGCTTGTGTCCTCGTTGACGAGATGCGTCCACTTGACGCGGCCACGCCGGCCAAAACCCTTGACTTGCATCACCTTGGGCAGTAACTTCTTGTCCAGCTTGTCCTCACCAGTCGGCTCTGAAAAATCCCTTTTGTAGATCGGCTCATTGTCCGACTGGAAGAAAGGTCCCTTCTTGTAGTCCCTTTGCAAAAACTTCCTCTTTGGAGCTGGGCTACTCTCACTCTTCGCCATGGTTGCACCCTAATCCTCGATAGGGATATTTAAGGATCCATGCCCTTTTCCCTCCACGTCAGCCGAAAATAGTATAATATATTCAAATTTTCGCGGAATATTCGGAGCCGTAAAAGAGGGAGAATGTCAGCTTCCAGTTCCAGGGCGGAATCCAGTTCTACAAGTTGCGGGGCCAGCACATCCTCAGGAATCCTCTCATTGTCCAGTCGATCGTGCAGCATTGTCCTGGAGATTGGGCCGGGAACTGGAAATCTCACCGTCAAGTTGCTCTGAGGTCGCCAAGAAGGCGATTGCTGGATCCCAGAATGGTGCTGGAGCTCCAGAGGCGCGTCCAAGGCACTTCCAAGCAAATCGTGTGTCAATCGATTTTATGAGTGATTTTTCTTCTATGCTTGTAGATCATCCAGGCAGATTTTTCTAAAGACCGAGCTTCACAGTCCCTGAATTTGAGCTTGGACGAGCAAGCATTGCGGTACAAAATCGTTCTAGAGCAGAATGGGCAAGAGCATTGTTTAGGGTTTAGGGTGCATTCAACTTGTGCTCCTAATCTTCCTAGGGGATAGTCATCCTTGGACAACCACCACAGATCTTAATCTCCACAAATTGACCAAACACTACATTTACCAAAGTGGAATACAGACCACAACTTCTTGTGCCCTCCCTGCCAAGAAAACCATGGCTTCCAGCAAGGTCCATGTCTTGGCGGTTCCAGCGGCCGCGCAAGGCCATATCTCCCCAATGATCCATCTCTGCAAGTTCATCGCTCAAGATCCAAGCTTCACAATCTCCTTGGTCAATATCGACAGCCTCCACGACGAATTCATCAAGCACTGGGTGGCGCCGGCGGGGCTGGAAGATCTGCGCCTCCATTCCATCCCATTCTCGTGGAAGCTCCCGCAAGGAGCCGATGCCCATACTATGGGAAATTATGCCGACTACGCCACGGCAGCTGCGCGAGAGCTCCCCGGAGGCCTCGAGAATTTGATCCGCAAGCTCGGCGAGGAGGGCGATCCGGTCAGCTGTATCGTCTCGGATTACGGTTGCGTTTGGACCCAGGATGTGGCGGATGTGTTTGGAATCCCCAGGATCATTCTTTGGTCGGGCAACGCGGCATGGACGAGCTTGGAGTATCACATTCCAGAGCTTCTGGAGAAAGATCACATTTTATCTAGCAGAGGTACGAATCTCCGTTCTTCCCTGTTCTTCCCTTGGCATTGAACGTTTCCTCTATTATTCCCTCGGATTTACCCTGTTCTTCCCTTGGACCTTCAAATTTCCCCTGTTCTTTCCTTTGGAATTAACATTCCTCTGTTCTTTCCTTTCCTCTGTTCAAATTTCTGAAATTCGCATGCAGGGAGAGCTTCCGCGGACGAGGCCAATTCCGTGATCATCGATTACGTCCGAGGAGTCAAGCCTCTCCGCCTGGCCGATCTGCCTGGTTACCTGCTGGCCTCGGAGGGCCAGGAGGTGTGGAAGGAGATTTGCATCAAGCGCTCTCCAGTCGTGAAGCGCGCGCGATGGGTCCTCGTCAATTCCTTCTACGACCTCGAGGCGCACACCTTCGATTTCATGACCAGTGAGCTGGGACCTCGATTCATCCCCGCGGGGCCACTGTTCTTGCTCGACGATTCCAGGAAGAATGTGGTGCTTCGCCCCGAGAATGAGGATTGCCTTCGCTGGATGGATGCGCAGGAGCATGGATCGGTGCTCTACATCTCGTTTGGCAGCATCGCGGTGCTGAGCGTGGAGCAATTCGAGGAGCTCGTGGGAGCTCTCGAGGCATCAAAGAAGCCATTCTTGTGGGTGATTCGATCCGAGCTCGTGGTCGGCGGACTCTCAACCGAATCTTACAATGGATTTTACGAGAGGACCAAGAACCAGGGATTCATCGTTTCCTGGGCGCCACAGCTGAGAGTTCTCGCCCATCCCTCCATGGGAGCGTTTCTCACTCACTGCGGATGGAATTCTGTCCAGGAGAGCATAGCGAATGGCATTCCAATGCTGGGGTGGCCTTACGGGGGCGATCAAATCACCAACTCGAAGTTCGTCGTGGAGGACTGGAAGATCGGGGTTAGATTCTCCAAGACAGTGGTGCAGGGATTGATCGGGCGAGCAGAGATCGAAGATGGCATAAAAAAGGTGATGGATAGCGACGAGGGGAAGAAGATGAAGGAGAGAGTGGAGAACTTGAAGATCCTTGCAAGAAAAGCTATGGACAAAGAGCATGGGAAATCGTTTCGTGGCCTCCAAGCATTCTTGGAAGATCTCAAAGCTTTGAGCTAAAGCAGTGAAATCCAGTTTCTAGCATGGAGTGCTAGAGATCTACATGCCCATTAGCCCAGACAGGATTGGAAAAGATTTGGCTCGTTTGCTACGTGGATGCGCCACTCTTAACGGATCTACTCGCGGATGATGCAGGCTTATGGCGAGATTGGCGAGCTAGAACTCTCCCTGTTTCGGAAGATGCCGCAGTGGAACCTCTTGTGGAATACCATGCTCACGGCCTATGCGGAGAATGGTCGCGTGGAGGACGCGAAACGAATGTTTTAC